GAACTATTCCTAGACCTTTCTTCAGAGAGCATCAAGAACATCCAAGCCATACTGCCTTCTCTTGACATTTTATGCAGATATTATACTATTTTTAATGTTTTCCGATATAAACCTCCTTCAAAACTAGGAAAAACAAGCTAAGTGTGATTCTCCAATACCACAAAATCAGCAATCTTACTGCTACTATGTCCCAGTGATGACATCTGGCAATGCTTAACAAAACGCAGGTAGCTGTTCCACGGTCTCATCTCCCTGCCCATTGAGGGATGCATTATAAAGCCAACACTGAGTTTTGAGTTAGCAGTTGCTTGTCCATGTCTCACTGCTGCCACAAAGGGACAGGGCCCCAGCCAGGATGCTGTGTAGGCTCACACAGCCCAAAGCAGTTCAACATGATGTTTGTGCTGAAGAACTGACTTTACCCACAAAGTCTATTCTTCAAGCAATCTTGCTTTTCAGGATTTATCTTCCTCAAAGAGATCTGCCCACTAGAAAAGATGCCATTAAGGAAAATGAAAAAGACTATTCCTCAAAACTACAATAGATGATGTCCCTGGATGGCAGTGATTTCCACTTACTCAAATAGTGACTAGTAAAGCTCCACTAACCCTAACCAAAGGCACATTTGGTAAGCAATAAAAATGGCTTCGTCTAAGATGAGGATTTTCTTTTAAAATAAATCTTACAATATACCCTGGCTCCTACCAAAAACAAAATCAGAAAAACATAAACCAAGCAAAACTCTTCTTTCAAAGCAGCTGGTTTTCAACTTGGTCACCACTAGAAAGGGAGTGGAGGGCAAGGCAAATCAAGTTTTGCAAGTTTTAAGTCCTAAAGATAGCACTTAAGACTGGAAAAGCTCAAGATAAGGGGAATGTAATGGCCAGGGTGGGATGTAGTGAGAGCCAGGACAGATGGAAGAACCCTTTGGTGATGCAACTCAAGGACTGCCTGGGGTGGAAGGAGCTCGTGGGGACAGTCAACTGCAGCAAGACACATGGCTTATCTGGAATAAATAGGAAGCAACAGGCTGCTGCAAACTAGCACCTGGGAAAGGACAGTCATCCTAAATGAGATCAAGGATAAACCCAACCCAGATCCTACAGGAAGAAGAAAAAGAAAACAACTCTTGGCTATTTGTTTATGTCCCAAAAGGAAAAGGCTGAGCCATCCTTTTTAGCAGAGGAAATAAATCTAATTACTTATAAACCACATTATGAAACAAGACACGAAATCAACAGCTTCATTTTGGAGCTTATTACAGTCCTAGAATTTCTGGCCAAGGTAGTTTGTGAAAGGTAGATTGTGAAATTCTTTAAACACGGTTATGGTTCAGCAGTGATTTGCAGGTCCTTGGGAAGGCACTGTGCTGGAGGAGAGAGCTAAGAGCTTTCTTTTTGTGCTTTTTTCTTTTTTGAGGTGGAAATACTTCTTGAGACAGTCAAGGCTCTTTTCTTGTATTTTGCTGTTCATACAAGCAATCCCATACGAGTGACTTTGGCCGACAAGAATGTGTGCAACACAAATACAATCGGCTTTGGACAAGAGTGCAGGTCCATGGTCTGTGGAGAAAGGATATTAATTATCACTACCATATACAATTTAATCAACCAAGAGGCAAAATAAACAAATTTAGATGTGATGTCCTATTTTTTTTTTTTGAGCTGGAGTCTCACTCTGTCACCCAGACTGGAGTGCAGTGGCCGCTCCCAGCCACTGCAACCTCGACCTGCTAGGTTCCGCCTCAGTCTTCCAAGTAGCCGGAACTATGGGCAGACGCTACCATGCCTGGCTAATTTTTTTGATTTATTGTAGAGATGAGGTCTCGCCAAGTTGCCCAGGTGGGTCTTGAACCCGTGGGTTCAGGCAATCCACTCACCTCAGCCTCCCAAAGCACAGATTACAGGCTGAGCCACCGAGCCCGGCTTGATGTCCTACTTTTTAAAAAGAACTTACTAGATAAAGAATGTGTCAGAGCCATGGAAACTCTTAGGAACTTAAAGCCACATACAAAAGTGTCCTATTAAGTAAGGTTATTCCATATCATAATTTAATACTGGTGTGAGGGTTTGGTTTTTTTTGAGATAGAGTCTGACTCTTCTCACTAAGGCTGGAGTACAGTGGCACGGTCATAGTTCACTGAAGCCTCAAATTCCTATTCCTAGGCTCAAGTGATCCTCCCACCAGAGTAGCTGGGACTATAGACATGCACTACCACTCCCAGCTAATTTTTCTGCTTTTTTTTTTTTGTAATGACAGGGTCTTGCTATGTTGCCCAGGCTGGTCTCAAAGCTATCCTCCCTCCTTGACTTTCCAAACTCCTGGCCTCAAGCTATCCTCCCTCCTTGATTTCCCAAAATGCTGAGATTACTGGCATGAGCCATTGTGCCTGGCCAAGGGTGTGATCTTTGACACCCTTTATTAGGTTTGTGGAGGAAATAACAATTTATTTTTGAGACGAGGTCTCACTCTATAGCCCAGGCTGGAGAGGTGTGATCACAGCTCACTGCAGCCTCACCTTCTTAGGCTCAAGTGATCCTCCCATCTCAGCCTCTCAAGTAGCTGGAATTAGAGGTGTCTGCCACCACACCTGGCGAATTTTTTTTTTTTTTTTTTTTGAGTTGGAGTCTCACTCTGTCACCCAGACCGGAGTGCAGTGGCTGCTCCTGGCCACCGCAGCCTCGACCTGCTGGGCTCCGGCGAACCTTCCACTTCAGCCTTCCAAGTAGCTGGAACTACAGGAGAGCGTTACCACGCCTGGCTAATTTTTTTTTGATTTATTGTAGAGATGAGGTCTCGCCAAGTTGCCCAGGCGGGTCTCAAACCCGCGGGCTCAGGCAATCCACTCACTTCAGCCTCCCAAAGCACGGGATTACAGGCTGAGCCACCGAGCCTGGCTAGTTATACTCTCTTAAGCACAGGCCTCCAATGTAAACAGCTGTCACCAGATGAATGAAGAGACCTGGGGTCAGACTGCATGTGTCAAGTGATTAGTCAATCTTTGGCACTGATAACAGATACCAGGAAAAGGACTCAGTTTAGTTAACTATGCCTTAAAACACAACAACAAAAACTTATTAGAAACAAATTAAATATAAAGCAGGGGTTGAAAATATGTAACTAGCAGAAATCATTTAATATCTTGCAAAATGGCAACTGATAGTAATAACTGGTTAATTTAATAGACAGAAGGAGTTAACTCTCACTAATGGCCCATACCTTTGTAAAGCCCTGGACCACGGCCTATCCATAATCTTCTAAATGTTCATCATTTAATCTAAGATTTCTAGGTTAGACACGGTGTCTCATGCCTATAATACCAGGGAGGTCAAGGGAGGAGGACTGCTTGAGTCAGGAGTTGGAGACCACCCTAGGCAACATAGGGAGACCTCATCTCTACAAATTAAAAAAAAATTAGCTGGGCATGGCCCCAGCTACTTGGGAAGATGAGGCAGAAAGATCACCTGAGTCTGGGAGGTCAAGGCTACGGTGAGTCATGATCATGCTAATGTACTCTAGCCTGGCAACAGAGTGAGACCCCCAACTAAAGTAAATAGAATAAGATTTCTAGAGCTTGGCATGCTCCTATAGTCCCAACTGCTCAGGAGGCTGAGGTGGGAAGATGACTGGAGGCCAGGAGTTTAAGACCAGCCTAGACAAGATAGAAAGGCCCTGTCTCCACAAAAATTTCAAAAAATAAAAATTAGCCACATGTAGTGTTGTATGCCTATAGTCCCAACTACTTGAAAGACTAAGGACAGGAGAATCACTTGAGACCAGGAGTTTGAGGTTGCAGTGAGCTATGAGTTATGAGAAAAAGGAGACCAAAAAAAAAAAAAAAAAAAAAAAAGCCGGCTGTGTGGATGTATGTTTCTTTTTTCCTGATCAGCAGAGTTTCTGTTGCAACCAAATCACTTCATTACTCTTAACTCTCTTATTCCAACTAATTGCTAATAATAGTAATGGATATAATTTATTTATTAGAGTTTGCCAGTTTTAGTATTGTATATCTTATTTTTGTTTTTAAAAAATCTGTTTTTTTTTTTTTTAAAAAAGGCTGGAGTGCAGTGGCATGCTCACAGCCACTGCAACCTCGACCTGCTGGGCTCAGGCAATCCTCTCACCTCAACCTCCCAAAGTGCTGGATTACAGGCGTGAGCCACCATGCCAAGCAAAATAAAACTTTAGGAAAAGGAATAGCCTCCTAATGTGGGAAAAGAAAAACAACAACAACAAAACTTCAAACCTAGGCCGGGCTTGGTGGCTCAGCCTGTAACCCCAGTGCTTTGGGAGGCCGAGGTGAGTGGATTGCCTGAGCCCGCGGGTTCGAGACCCGCCTGGGAAACTTGGGGAGACCTCATCTCTACAATAAATTAAAAATTAATAGCTGGGCTCAGTGGCTCAGCCTGTAATGCCACGCCTTGGGAGACTAAGGTGGGTGAATTGCCTGAGTCTGTGGGTTCGAGACCCACCTGGGCAACTTGGCAAGACCTCATCTCTACAATAAATCAAAAAATCAGCTGGGTGTGGTAGTGCGCGCCTGTGGTTCCAGCTACTTGTAAGGCTGAGGCAGAAGGATTGCCGGAGCCCAGCAGGTCGAGGCTGTGGTGGCTGGGAGCGGCCACTACACTCCAGTCTGGGTGATAGAGTGAGACTCCAACTCAAAAAAAAAAAAAAATTAGCCAGGCGTGTAGCACATGCCTGTAGTTCCAGCTACTTGGAAGGCTGAGGCAGAAGGATTGCCGGAGCCCAGTAGGTCGAGGCTGAGGTGGCTGGGAGCAGCCACTGCACTCCAGTCTGGGCGACAGAGTGAGATTTTGACTCAAAAAAAAAAAAAACCCCAAAAAAAACCACTTCAAACCCAATACCATCTTGAAAACCAAAGAACAATTTCTTGGCTCCAAATGGAATATCAATTTGTAATTTTCTATGCAAGAGGTAAGATGAGAAGGAAAGAGAATACCTATTAGGATAAACATGTTTTTCAGAAACACTCTTACCAGTTCTCCCTCAGGACCACCAAAATCCAGATACAGATTTCTGATGCCATCATCAGCAGACATTTTCAGCCTTTCAAAGGGGTAGCGGTACAATATGCTGCTGGCGCCTCCATTTTCCCTGGAGATAGTGAACCCATTTTCATAGTGGATAGTGAGTCTTGCTTCTTGGCCATTTAACATGCAGCCTGTTGAAGACAAGCAAATGACATCATTAGAAAAGTTGCTACTTTGGGCTGGGCATGGTGGCTCATGCCTATAATCCCAGGACTTTGGGAGGCCAAGGTGCGAGGATGACTGCTTGAGCCCATGGGCTAGACACCAGCCTGGGCAACTTGATGAGACCTCATCTCTACAATAAATAAAAAATTAGCCGGGCATGGTGGTATATGCCAGCTACTTGGAAGGCTGAGGCGGAAGGATCACCTGAGCCCAGCAGGTCGAAGCTGCAGTGGCCGTGAGCTTGCCACTGCACTCCAGCCTGGGCAACACATTGAGACTCCAACTCAAAAAAAAAAAAAAAAAAGTTGCTACTTTGGTTATCAGGTGGAAAAGGATTCTTCTGACTCCAAAAAAGGAAAAAAAGTCTTTTCTTGAGAATGTTTGATGCCTAATCTATATGGAACCTCCTAACGTGAGTTTAGTTTTGGTCACTGGAGTTAACCATCTTGATGAGATGAGACAGAAATGACCATAACTCTCCTTGACATCGGATTCAGTGAGTATCCACTGAATACCTGTGCTGGCAAGTATATGTGAGCTGGGCATGGCACTGGGGAAGTAAGAGGATGATCCCTAATCGCAATAACTTGATAACCACATTGGCATAAACATGAAATCCCCAACTATGTAAGGCAGAATGTATAGAACATGATTTAACACCAAACCGAGTAAGGTCAAAGTTGAGGAAAGGTTTCCTGGAGGAGGCAGGACTTCAGATAGGCTCTAAAAGGGTAGGCAGAAGTGGATAGGCAGGGAGGAATAGGAAGAAGGATTCAACTCAGCAAGAAGAAGGAACAACCATAAGAGCAAAGGCAGAGATGCCCTTCAGGGGTAGTGGCATGGTTTGGTCATAGGAAGAAGATAAAAATAATGTTTATCAAAGTTAAAGGTTATATTCAGCAAAAGTCATACAGTTAATCCTATCAAAGATACAATGCAAAGGATACAACTAAATTAAGAGGACACAACAAATTTCAATCAAGACTGGCAAATGCCTTCTATCAAAACTGGTGAAGTCCCTGTTTCACTAACACTGGAACACAGTTTTGCTGTTAGTACAGGGCTATGAGTGAGAGACGCTGTGAGCCTTGGGAATGAACACAGTTGTCTGAGAACTGAATTTAAAATCACCTACAGATCAGAGCTCAGTTCTGCTTAGCCAGTTCAAGCAGAAAGAACGGCTTTTAAACAAGTATGCCATCATACCCAGACCAATGTATTGTTTCACTGGATATGCAAAAGCATTCAATTAGTCAAGGCAGCTTGTGTGTTAAGGACACAGTGAAAAAGAACAACGGTTATATATTTGCAGTGTCCCTCTCAGCACTACTCAAAGGAAAGAGTTTTGGAAAATGAACTATGAATATTAGTTACTCTCGGAAAAGGAATCTGGGCAGGGAGGTAAACATGGATAAAACTCACTACCTGTAGAGGTAATCCAATGCAATAATCTCTAAATGAATGGCTGAAGCATTTGGGAGAACTGCCAGATCCCAATCAAGGCAACCATGTCATAGTTTTGAAAATAGTTTGATGCTCTTAACACTACTAAAGATATAGCACAGTCAAGGATATTAAGATCTGAAGAGAACAGAGGGATCAGTTCTGGTCTAGAAAACAAGAGCTCAAAGAGCAAGGATCTGCTCTAGTCCTTGCAGTATTGGCTGGAGAAGGTGCAATGCAATTGGGCATCTCTGCCTGCAGGTGTCACCGGTGGAGTGAGATCAGGTGATCACAGCTAGTGAAGGTGAGCCATTAACCCCACAATAAGCTTGTATTAAGAGATTTCATGGCCGGGTGCAGTAGTTCACACCTGTGATCACAGCACTTTGGGAGGCCAAGGTGGGAGGATCACTTGAGTCAGGAGTTCGATACCATCCTGGACAACAAAGTGAGCTCTCATCTCTACCAAAAAAAAAAAAAAAAATTTTTTTTTTTTG